TACACTCGTTTGTTTTCACGTTGTTCTCCATTTACTTACAATACTTTGTTCATCTTCAACTTCAACTTCTTCTTTCTGTTTTCTGCCCTTGTTTTTTTTTCAAAATGGTATTATTTCATTACACTCGTTCCTAACCAGTTTTTCTTTAACTTTACACCTTTTTATCAGCTTGATTGCTTTTTAACTGGCTTTTTACAGTTGTCATTTTTTTCTCTTCTCTAATTTTTTTTTCTCTACACTCGTTTGTCGCATGTTAATCATCAATATTAGGTTATTTTTCATCAAAACTTTGCTACCCCGTGCCCATACCCACTCTGACCACTATGAGAAGCCCAAGTTTGTGAGAGCGTTGTGTTGCGTTGTGGTTTTCTGCATCGCAAGGAACTTGCCATAGCGGTCGATTTCATATATCGTAGCGATTGTGATTAGGCCATTGCGGCAAATCACAACGCTATGAAATCTGGCGGATATATCGGTGCGTAGCGGAGCGGGTCAGATATTGGTGGTGGTGGTTGGGGTCGGTGATACTTGTTGTGTTTTACGACGATTAGTCTTATGACCATCACGAAGTGTTTTTCTCCCTTCCATTGAATGATGATCAAATCTTTCAAACCATTGATGTTGATCATCTTTCAAATGAGATTCTTTGGCCAACTTTCGTACTTGTTCCCTTTCATACAGTTCTTGTGTACCTGGACTCATTTTCATCACTGAAGTTGAACCTGATCCAGAATATCCTACACCTGATCCGATCTCGGAACCTGTTGTGGTTTCCATTCTTACCATTGCAGAATGTACACGACAAGCAAGACAGATATAGAATCCTAGAATGAAAGGCTTCATTTTATGATTGATTCAAGAGTGTCTTTGATGGGAATCTTGTTGAGCAAAAAGAAGGAAGTCTAGTAAGAAAATCTTGTCGAAACAAAACATGCGGAACAGGTATGATCAAGAAAGTAACATACATTTTAAAGCTCTGTACTTGAAAAATTGAAGATCTTAAGACAATATGGGTCTTTTTCAAACACCCTTGTTAATAGAAGTAAAGTGTTATTGTAAAGCTTATCAACTATAGATCTTTTAGAGTAGATATGGTGAATAAGTTATTAGTATTTTCTCCGGTTAAAAGTTGAACAGAAATGTACTCACCTAAAGCTAACTATTGTAAATCTTGATAGTCCCAAGGTACTCAACCAAAGCTTTCGAATCCCAAAAATATACTTCAAGTCTAACAAGTATATAGTACACTCTTAACAAGATTTCCTAAGTTTTAAGAACAAAACCAGAACACAAATTGACAATCAAATGATGAAAAAAATTTGGAAATCAGTAGAGGAAGAAAAGATTTGTGGACTTGGAATTGTAAAAAGGTCATCCGTTTATAAGTGAATGGTTGGAAACTCCGCAACTTGCAAGTGAGAAAACATACTTGACATTCTGAACTTAGAACGCATTTCTTACCTACCTCATCATTTTCTGCGTATTCTACAAATCAGAGTCAGAAGCAAGGGGCCCGTAATGATTTGTTCAATATGGGTGACCATCTTGAATTCTCGTCCATATATGTATGTACATACTAGGTATTCTGAATCGTTTTGAATCCTGATGAGATACGGTCAAGAGATCGCTTCGATTTAAATACACATTCGAATGCTCTTCATCATCTCATATCTTATATTGCATACAAATCAACCTATACCAAACGTTCCGCGAAGGTTGAAGGTGGTTTCATAACTTGATGTTGTAAACTCCGCAAGCGTGACGAAATGCTTCAAATCACCTCGAACCATCAGTAGTGCAGGTTTTTTTATCGGTTGTAAAGGGTATTACGAGAAACCATTGATTGTTTTCAAATAATGGATCTGAGCCAAGATTTTCAAAGAACCTTACCCCAAGAACAAATAAACTAGACATCACAAGATACAAGGATTGGGTGGTAGATATTTCAGATTGGGATATGCCTTGCAAAGGGAGTATATCCCTGCAAAATCCATCATACATTTTTTGATGGGTTTAAAGAATTCATAGTATACAATTGTATCCTTATTTTGTAAGGTTTTCTTTGAATGATGATAAAGATGATGATGATGCATATAATTTGATTCGATTCAGATATTGAGTAACCATAGAGACCAAAGAAGATGAATGAGAGTTATGAAATTCAGAATATCATGATCATGATCGCCATATGATAAATGGATTGATACGATGAGGAATTACATAATTCCTAAGGATGAGAAAGAAATGATCGAGAAAAAATAAAGGAATTGTTAAGATGGGAATGAAGATGAGGAGATGGTTGATTTAGAAACCAAATGAATCGAAAAGGTAATCGATTTAAAAATAATCAGAGAGAAAAGATGTGATGACGATTTGAATGAAGTTTTGTGATTTAATTTTGGTAACCTTCTCATTGTTTACCATCACTACCATTGGCACCAGGGGATGAAGGATCTCATGAGTGAGAGACTGTGAGGATTGAAGATAGAAGATATATTGGATCAAGTTCTTTAGACTTGATACATTATTATTTTCTTGAAGTTGCAGTCAATGTTCTAGATGAACTAAAACTTTTCTTGCAAACACTTGACACACGGTTAAGACTTAAGTAGTAGTCTTAATATTTAAGAAAGATGGAATTAGCTCAGCATTCTAAATCGAAATCTAAATCAATTCAATCAGAACAAAAATTAAAAAATAGAAAATCAGTCAGTATACTCTCTATCATCTACTCTATCACTCACTATCATACTAACTCATTGGTTCTTATTTAATAGCATATCAGATATACAAACATATCATCTTCACCACCACCACCATTACCAAACCAACTCAACTCAAACAAACCAACCGAACTTCAAAACAAAACCAACTCATTATTAATCAGTAGACCATCCTTCATAGGTGATCTACAAACACTTACTGCTTATTATCAAAATGAAAACACACTAGACCAAGTCCAATACGCATCCAAACCGATCTTAACATCTACAAGAAAGCCTAAATCGATTCTAAAAGCTAATCATCCACCACCTAAGAAACCGAACCAATCGATCGATTCAAATCCAAGTTTCAATCGGATCCCTCAAAACTTAAAACCTAAATCAGAGACAAATCCAACGAGCAATCAACCATCCAAACCTATTTCAACTCAACAAAGATCTCAATCTACTTATCCTATTCGATTCCAACCCAATAAATATCAAGAAGAACGTCAAACCTTTCAACCTATTCGATTTCATCCTTTAGAGTTGCCTGATACTGAAGATGATCAAGTTCCTAAACTCGAATTACCTTTCTTTGGTGTCAATCAACATATTGGATGTAGGTTTTCGATCAGAACTCTTACTAGGGAAGTCGAACGGAGTTTGAAATCACATGAACCTATGGTCAGTTCTTTCCACCCAAACCCTCTTCATCAGTTTTTTGGTTTACCTTGGTCTTTCTGAACTTTGGGTTTTTTGTCTTTGATTTTCGTCTGGTTGGATCAGGTAACTAAAAAGTTTCAGGAAGATCAAGTTAAAAGGTATTTGAGTGAACATGAAAAACCAAGTGTGTTGAATCGAACTCGTCAAGACTTAGGACTTAGTCCAAGACATCAACAAACTCATCTAGATTCGATTCTCGAAAGTTATGGTGAAGAAGACACCGACCAAGAAGAAGAAGATTCCAACTTTCAACTTGATGAAATCATAGATGAAAATGATGATGATCAAACTAAATGGAACAAAGTCGAAAGTCTTTTATCACGATTACCTTGTCGATTACCTGATTTAGAAACCGAATCTGAATCTGATCAAAAAGTATCATCTTCTTCAGATAGTTTTAAAACTTTATCAAATTCATCATCACCATTAAAGATCAATAAACCGAACCTACCAAACCATATGGTAAGGAATGAAGAAGGTTCGGGGTTTCAAGCTAACCAAACCAACTTACGAAAATCAGAAGCTCCAAAACGGTTTTATCCAATCGAACCACCCGAACCTAAACCCAGTAGAAAGACAATCCAAGTCTCAAACCATACATCTGAAAACCCGACATCCACTATATCAAACAAGAGTGAAAGCTCAAAGCAGATTCCAGTCTTAGTACCCCAACCATGGGGCAGAGCCAGAGACCAAAGAAGACAAACCCAAACGATACACCCGACCAAAAGATCTTCGGAATTTCATCATTCTACTAATTCTAGAAAGTTGAAGAACCTTAGTCAACTTGAGTTTAAAAATAAACATCTTTCGGGACTTTCTAAGTCGTTTAAGAGTGGTCTTCAGGGGAACTGGGGCAGTTTGGGTCTGAAGAATGGGGAACTACCGCCCCCTGTGCCTGGTTTGCCTAAACGGTTTGTTTAGACTTTGGTTCTTGGGGTTGTGAGGTGTAGTGAAGTTTGTTGTGGGTCGTGGCAAAGGTTGGGTTGGGTTGATGGGGGTTTTGGAATGGGGGTTCGCGTGGATTGGAAAACTCGAATTGGGATTTAGAAGTTGGGATTTAGGATTCAATGGGTGTTTTTCTTGAGTTTTGATTGAAGTTTGGATGATTTTTAGCAACTTATTAAACACATGCTTGTTGTTGGTTTTTGTCACTTTTCTTTTACTTTTTTTTATACGAATGGTTTTTGATTCTTAAAACCTTCTTGAAGGAATCTCTTTAAAAGAAAACATTATTTTTAAATCAAAACGTTTTTTCTTTTCTTCTTTTTAACTTCTTTGATTTTACATATATTAAATTTATTGAACTGGGTTCGTTTTTTGATTTATTTTATTTTCTTGATATGATTATGTATTGTATTGTATTGTGAATGTGAATGAAGTATGAATCAATGGACTTGGATTATTTACAAGAGAAAGAAATCAAGAGTTTTTGAAAACTTTTGATTGAGGATGTTACTCTTGGGAAATCAGTTTGGTTTTTTTGGGTGAGTGAGTTGATATAAATTTGGAGTGGTGTGCTGTGTGGTCCTGGAGTGTGTTGAGAATTTTGATGTGAGAACTTGAAGGAGAGAAGCATTTCAAACCATCAACTATCAACATCACATCATGAACCCCATTCATTTATCATCATCATCAAATCAAACATCACAAAAAGAAATCGAGAAAGAACAAGAACAAGAACAAGAACAAGAAATCGAATTAGAGATAGAAGACGAAAATGAAAATGATCAAATCGAATCAATCCCAATGCTCAACTCTCTACATTCTAACAATCGATTCAAAGTTCATTCTAAAAAACCATCATCTGCTTCTAAAGATCTTTGGGGATTTTATTCTTATTCATTTGCTTCTGAAGTAAGTTCTTTAATTATCTTACATTCACATTCATCATCAACATCAACTGATTTTCGGATTACATATTTTGAAACGGTTTAGATTTTCTCAATCGTTGCTGTTTCTCTTTTCTTACGTAAGTAAAAAACCATCATCACAATGAACCTTTGTATGAATTTGAATTTTGGTTGTTGGTTTCAAAGCTATCACTCTAGAACAATTTGCAAGAGATAATGGATTCCAATACCCGAACCATAACCTCACATGTCAAGGATCATCAAAAGATCAACTAAACCAAACCAACATTCTTGAACCTGATCAAGAAACAGTTTGTGATGTGAAGTTATTAGGAAGATGGTTCGATACGGCTTCGTTTCCTTTATATGTTTTTAGTATCAGTGTGGCTATTCAAGCTATTTTGGTTTGTAGTTTAGGTGATGCTGCTGATCATCGTAAGTATCTCATCCTACATTTTCATTGAAGAAGATGATCGGATTCTGATACCTTTTTTTGGTGTGGAGGTAACTTTTAGCTACTATTAGAAAATTGTTGTTAGTGAGTTTTGCTGGGATTGGAAGTTTGACTGGAATGGGATTGTTTTTGTTGAAGAGTGAGTCCCAGTATTGGTCATTTATTTCGGTTTTGGTGATCGTTTCAAACGTTTCACTTGGTGGTAGTTTAGTTTGTTTAAATAGTTTTGTAAGTCTTACTCACCCACACAAACACCCAGAGACTTTTCTTAAACTTCATCAAATTACCATAGATGAAAGACTGATGATTTAAAAACCAAACTTGATGGAATTAAGAAACCTCTAGATCCCAAGTATAAGTAAAACTCAACCAGAAGTGATCAAGATTAAATCAAGATTAGAAGAAGAGATTGGATCGATTGAATTGAATTTGAAAGAAGAGTATGAGATCGTTTTGTCGAATACGATCTCAAAGGTTTCTTCGAATGGGATTTCGATTGGATTTACGGCTGGGATCCTTTGTTTGTTTGTGTCTTTGATCCCGGTGACTATTAGGAATGGGGATACGACTAGTTTGAGATGGGCCGTTGGGTGTAGTGCGGTTTGGTGGGCTATATTTACGATTCGTGGGTCACACTTTTTTATCTTTTACTAAATTAAACGGGTTCAGAACTTGAAGAAACAAACAGGAAAAATAAAGTCTTATGATTGTGTGTGTTTTTTTTTTGCTTGTTCTTTTTTGGTTTAGCGGCTGCAATTTGGCTACCTCCTTCTGATTGGAAACTTAATCAATCATTTCATCAAATCTTTAATCCCAAAAAAAGTTGGCAAGAGTTTGCTAAGATGTTAAGATCTCGAAAGAAATTAAAACATACGTTTTATTATTTAATGGCTTGGTTTTTATTATCAGATGGTACATATCTCTCGATTTCTTCCGATCCAAAACTCTTTGAAAAAAAGAATCTGATGCATGATTTTTTCCGGAATTATGTTTAGCTTATTCGACAATCACTTCAACAGCTATTATTTTTGGTAAAACAGCTTTAAAGATGTCATCATCACATTTAATCTTGATAGGAATCATCACTCCTGCTACTGGAATCTTAGGTGCATTGTTGATACCGAATTTGCAGTACAAACTTGTGTTTTTTCAGGGAAGGAATGGGGGATTGAGAATGTTTAAGTGGGTGGTTGGGTTGAGTGGGTTGATTCCTTTGTATGTTTGTTCGGGCGTTCTGTTTGGAACGAATGCTTTGAGTAGGGAATGGGAATTGTTTGTTTTGGCTGGTGTATTTGGTAAACGAAAAACTCGTTGGATTCTTTACCTTTTTTTTTTGGCTTTGGAGTTGGATTTTGCAATTTTACTGAGGTGTTTTTTTTTCTTTTGGGTTTGGGTTTTGCTTTTAGGTGTTTTGTATGGTGCATTTCAGTCTTATGCTAGATCTTTATTTGCTGAATTGATTCCACCAGGTCAAGAAGCTAAATGGTATGCACTCTTTAGTATAACTGATAAGTTGAGTTTATGTTTTTTTTTCTTAAAAAAGAAGAAAAGAAAATATAATTTGGATTTTGGATTTTTATTTTTCAATTTTTATTTGAATGTTTTTGTGTATGGATCGATGATGGTTTGATCAACTTGGAATTGAAGATTGAAAATTGATTTTGTTTTGGATTTTTTTGGGGATTTTTTTAGATCTTCTAGTTTTTTTGGTCCATTTATTGTTGGTGCAATAGCAGGTAAGAAAAAAAATCAACTTTTTAAAAACCCTTTTTCTCTTCTTACTTTTCTTTTGATCTGTTAATCTCAACTAATTGGATTTTTTTGGCTTTTTGGGGGAACGCGAAAATGGATCTTGATTAAAAATTTTTAGATTTAACACATAACATTCGATATGGATTTGTTTTTATTTTATTAATCTTATTGGTTTCTTTACCTTTATTAAATTTAATTCATATGGAAATTGGGAAAGAAGAAGCGTTTAGGTTTAGTGAAGAAGAACAACAAGAAGAAGAAGATTAAAAAAATGGATTTGGTTTGATTTTGATTGGTTTGTTTTTGGAAGTACAATTTTTTTATGGTTTGTAAGGTTTGAAGTGGGGTTTTTTGCAGTTTGGTTTACATAGGTTTTAGTAGGTTTTGTATGAATGATGGCATTTTTTTGGTTTGGTTTTTTGTAATGCATTGATTAGATCATGATCGTTTGTTTTTCAATGTTTCTGTTATTGGTAATTGCACAAATCATAGTCTCAAAAAGACATTTTCCGGTTCAAAATTGGATTCATTGATTGTACTTTTAAAGTCGGACAAAATGGTTAAAAGGGTTCTTTATCCAAATACGTTGAGTGAGCGTAGATAGTTGTGTAAAAGATTTGGAAAGCTTATTTTATTTAGCCCTTGGGAAGCATTGTTTTGATTTTCTTCAAGTTGGTCATGGATGGGCACAACGAGGATGTGAGGAGATGCCAGTCAAATTTCATGCTTGCATCGGTCAACACCGGTCCCGAGAGATTGATCACACTCCGGCATGATTCATGAGTGATAGGACCTGAACGAATATCTCAACTGGTCAAATGATGTGATCGATGGTATGGTGAACATGAATTGAGAGCTTTGTTAAGCTAAATGGGATCTGGTGAAGTCATCCAACCGTCTGTTACTTCGATGCCGCTCATCTTCATTCAGCACTCACTATAATAATACTGATCCCTACTGATCCACACTTCTAAAAATTCGCATCATCACCAAGTGAACGCATATGTTGGCACATTTTTTAAAAAGTTTAATTCATGTCAAGTCGAGCCATCGATTCACAACCCGTTTCTTAGTTTCATTCCCTTGGTCGTGTTGCTGATCGATCTTGACACATCATCAATGGAAACTCGTTGCAGTACTCCAGAGAGAGAGAGAGAGATCGAATTCTTGATTGTCATCTTAACATCAACACATTTTTTAATAACATTTTTGGAGGAATTTACAACGAGAAACAAAAAGAAATCAAACAGAATTCATTTCTTATGGTGTTCAATTTGAAATCTCATTCAAGAACTTCAAGTCAAGATTCTCAAGATTCTGATAGGATTCCTATAAAAGGTATTTTAAAATCAATGAAAAAGAAATCAAATCAAAGATCTCAATCACATTCACATTGGAATGTAAAACAACCCAATTCAAATCATCATCAACCTACTAGTATACTCAAAAATCCTGTGAAACCTGAAAAACTTGATTTACCATTTGTTGAAGGATGTCATCATATCGGTTCAAGATTTTCAGTTAATACACTGATCAAATCTATTCAACCAGTCAATCTAACTTCTGAAGTATGTTTAATTTTGATGATGATAATTTTGTTAAACCTTTAACTGAGATTCACTTTTTGATTCTTTTTAGGAAGTTGGGTATTTAAAAAATCGTCACAATCACTCGAAATCAGCATCAGATGATTTAAGTGATTTGTATCCAAGAATCAAAGGACCTTATCAACCTAGATCAATTTTATCTAGAACAAGATCAGCATATGGATTAAAACCACGTAAAAAGTCAAACAATCCAGATGATGAAGAATTTGATGAGACCAATGAAGTCAAATCAAATCAAAACAATGTCAACAAGGGTGATTCTAATCAATCAATTCATCATTCAAGACCTCCTAGTAATTTAGAACAGTATGAAAGACAATTCCATCCTGAAGTTTATCAATCTAAACTTCATGATCATCAACCTAAAAGTGTTCAACTTCATCCGGTTCGAGAAGAAGAAGAAATTGAAGAATTAAGTCAAGTTTTACAGATTGACGAAGATTATGAAAGTTGGGTTCTTAAAGCTTTAGAACCCATTCCACATTCTAATTCGATTTCGATTTCGAATTTATCCAATTCCCAAATCGGAAGTTACCTATACAAGTCACAGCTAATCCTACTTTGAATCAACTTCCAAGACCTACAATCCAGAATGAAACTTTTAATCCTCATCAACTCATACGAAACCATCATCCTAATCACCAATATCCTAATCATCAATTTCCTAATCCTAATCCTAATCATCCTGAAATACCTACAAGGAATCAAAACTTGAGGCCTATTCCTCAATCCCAATCCATCTCTCAAACAAATCATCAAACAAACCATCTCAAACCAAACCCCTTCAAACCCAATCAAAACCCAATGATCTCAAATTCAACACATCCAGCTTTAATCCTAAGTCATCCACCATGGTCAAGAACAAGATACCATAAACCTATGGTACCTATCCAACAACATCATCATCCAATTCAATCTTCTTCTTCTTCTTCTTCTTCTAACCCAAACAAATCAATATTGAAATTAACTTCAATGAAAAAACCTTTTAATAAACATCATCAAGTTGAACCTAAGATGTTGAAGAATGATTTGAATAAATTGAATTTAATTAGAAATGATTTATCTGATCATCATCATCATCTGAATAATCTGAATCATTTGAATCAACATCATCAAGGATTTGAAATGTATGAAAAACCTAGAAACCCTCCTCCTATTCCTTCTACTTCTAATTATAAGACTTCATTTCATTAGATTTTTCTTTTCTTTTCTACAAACTTTTTGATATTCTGTGAGTTTTTTTTTCTTGAGGAGTATTATAGGTGTAGTAAGGGAATTAGTGTAAAGGGATTTAGTTGTTCATTAATTGCAGGTTTTAAGAATTTGTTTGTGTAAATTATTTGATTGTTATTTGATTTGTATCTTTATGGTTTAAAAAAATGAAGTTTAAGTAGAAAGAATCACATTTATACATTTTTCTTGTTTTTGGGAAGATTGGATCAATGGTTTGAATGTACATAAGATCTTTAAGGGTTTCATCCATCACATTATCATAAGTAGGAAGAGATTCAAACCTATCACAAGATACAATGATATTTTGCTCTGATGAGGTTCAAAAATTTGATTTTATTCAGATATGCACTGTGATTTTGTATCTGCCTTCCAATGAACAACACTGTTCTGACAGATCACCTGAGGGGTTTTTTATCATGGTTGTTTCCCCCAAAAGAATGCTTCATTACAAATCCCAGCTTGTTGGGTATAGGGGAATGGTGTACAGTGAAAAATTGATGAAATGAAGCATTGATCAGAAGTTTTCAGAGCTTGATTTGTCTTGGGAAAATCAAATTTGATGATTGGTCTAGATTCCAGAGAGGAAGGAAAAACTTCAAAATTTCTTTTGCAATCCTCATCACTGGTACTTATCAATTCTTACCTGTGTCATTATTTGGATATCTTACAAGTCACCATACACTTCTGGGACTTGGTAAATGTCTCTGTGTGGCTTTGAATTATTGAGAATGTGTAATGTTGATTTTGAAATAGGAGCCTGTCCTGTGTGTGCTGATGTCCTTTTTTGAGGCTCTCAAGTTGGAGAATGGGGTTTGAATTGCTCAGAGGGAACCTAGCTAGATGACATTCATAACTTAGGGGAAGTTGATTATCACAACTATATTTACATTCAGCTATGTCTTGTATCTTTCTCAGTCTGAAATCTAATCAAAAATCTGGATGAGTTTGTGGCCGGATATATGATATGTTCAGAGAGACCAAAGATGAGCTTTGTCATTAGCTCTGGGTCCTGTGGAGAAATTTGAGGTGATATGATGATTATCTAATACGGTCATGTTGTGAGATGGGTAGCGAAACCTCCATGTTTTCAATAAAAAGGACATGATGTTTACTTTAAACTTGTATCTAGTCATCCTTAAAGCACCAGCAAAGATACATAGATCAGTTGTGGGTGAGCTGGTAGTCGCTTGAGCGGGTCAACAAGTCAATTATCAACCCTGGCCATATGATCTCATATCATCATGAAGACAAATGAGCCACTGTAACATTATTGGTGAAGAGGGATTTTGGCTATTTCTGTTTAGAGAAGCCAAAGCCAAAGTCAGCTTTAAAGATGTGGGAGCTTGTTGCGCGTATCTACATTTGGCACATAGTACTAGTAGCATTTGCCTGACGGAGTCGGACTACATGAGTGGACGCGGGGACACGAACATTCCTGACCAATTTTAGTAAACGCACATCTCTGACAAAAGACAAATATGAGGTCTACTTGACTATCGCGCGAAACAGCAAGTCAAGGATGGTGCCTAGCTCACCTGATTTTGCTGAGGTTGTATGATGAACGACAGCTGCGTAGACACCGTAAAACTCCTCAAATCCCTTTCATGAAGCTGAAAGACATATCTTTTTTTATCGGACTGAGTTTTCAGTGTCGAAAAAAATCAGATATTCGATATGGATATCTGTAATTTGTCAGAACCTTCATTGTAAAGTTCAAGTATTCGAGCCCTTCAATCTACTTGCAGGAAGACCATATGCATATCTTGATTCTTGACCAAGGTTCAACATGCACGAAAGCAAAAGCATGTTGCTGGAGTTGAAGCGGTATAGAAATCTTCAACCTACCTCGATTTGAAACTTTGGTGAATGGTGACCAACACGCGATCTGAGATTGAAGGTTAGCAACAGGCCATTGTGTATACAAGATGAAAGGTATCGAACAATCCGAGCCCTTTCACCATTGCACGCTACAATTATTGAATTTATCTCCAGCTTGGTTGTTATTCGGCATTGATGGCGTCTTGACTACAATCCGAGTCACAAATCCAATTCTTTTCCTCGTCCTCGTCCTCATCCAAGGAGGCTACACCTTACCTCCATCACAAAGTCTTGGTTGCCTTGTTTGTCGACGTCTGAACCTTTCAGCTTACTTTGCAAGCTTCTACTCCATACTTTCTTGGGCCAAGTCTCGTTTACTTCAACTTTTGCCAACTTGACTCTTGACTTTCGCTGATAATTGATTTCTGTAATTCAAAGCCTCATCACTTCTCACGTCTCCTCATACAATCACCATCTCTTCCCATTTCTTCTCCATTAATCTCGCTTGACCCGTTACGCCTGTTTGAGTTATCCGGTACATACCATCGATTCAACCCCTAACAGGATCAGCTTCGCATTGTAAGTCAGAACAAGACGTAATATATACAGCTTTCCCTTCTTGAAACCCTGGCTCATTTCACCTTCTCACCTTCATCTTCCAGATCCAATCGTAATATAGCAGACCGTCTTTCCGCCCATTTTTAATCTTTGTTGCTTTATCTTGCAGTGAGTTCCTCCATCGGCGCTTTAATCATCACTGTATAATCATTTTCCTTTGAAGTCACATCGAACATTCCTTTCTTTCATAACTCCGGATGCACATCTACCAGATTAGATTTTGTATCAAAGTGCATATATAAGATGAATTAAGTGTACTGATCACATATCCTGCAAACTTTCAGATCTCCAGACTCCCGTATATGGCATTTTAATCTTTTAGTTCATTCACCTCACTCTGTTCTATGATCCTTGCGTTTTATCACTCTTCTTCAAGCGTGTCCTTTTACATCATCACCTCACCTTCGTTTCTTCAACTCCACTAGCTTCAAAAACGAAGCACTCGTCAAGCTAAACCCTACATCGGCTGCTTCTCTTTTGTTCTTAAGAAGCATTTCAAATCATCATCTCAACTTCAACTGATCAGCATGAGTACTCATTCATCTGTCTCTGATACCGTCTCCGAGATCGACCCATATTTTCGCACCATCGGTCGCGCCACCCCTGATTCTGGCTTCAAATCTTCTCCCGCGGATTCCCTAGTGGAGCTCAGCAGGCCTGTCGTTACATTCCCTTTGCCGCCTCGTCGTCGACTCCGTCCCGGGGACATAGTGACCAATCCATATCCTGAAAGCTCATCGACCAAGCCGACATCACACATTCATGAACCCGTAGCGCTCTATGGTGTAGCGATCGGAGGAGAGAATCGACGGGTACCCGCTGGGATTCCGGGAAGGGCTCAAGTGAAAAAGGACCGTTATAGCAGCGCATATATGCACAACAAGCGACCTTCATCAGCCGTCAGATCAAGCCCAAATACTCCTAGTCATGCCGATGGCCAAACGGCTGGAATTCGAGCCCGTAATCCTAGCCATTATCTTGCTCGAAATACTCAATCTTCTATCTCTGGCAATGTTAATTTTATCAAACCTCTCAATGCGCCACTGCCAAGCTCCTCGACAGATCCAAGCTCTGCTCTGTCGTCTGATCGGCTCGGGCTACCAAGGCGACCCCATCGGACTGACTCGGTGATTTCCTTTCCTAGTGAAGTTAATCTCGCTCTCCCGCCAGGGTTCCCTGAGAGTTGCCATCAAGGGTCTCCACACCCCTATCAGAATGGTCGACCGCCTCCTCGTGATGACAATCCCGTCATTGATCATTGCCCAACACCCGATCTTCAACATGCGGCACGTCTCAATGCGTTGAATGTGGCTTTACAGATTGATGACAATCCAGTGGAGAAGATGGGGATGAGTCATTCCCAACCAACCAATCAGCAAGGTCAGACGGGTTCCTTTATATACATCTTTATTGGATTGCTTCAAGACGTCTCGATTTTTCAGCAAAATGTGTGCTGACACAATTCCTTCAATTGATCTAGCTTCACATTCAAACTCGATCTCGAGAAAGCCTGATGCTCCACTCACATCTGTCCAGCGCATCCGCTTCGCACCGCCACCAAGAAAGTCATTAATCAGAGTAACAACCTCTACCTTTCCTACGCTCTTACGGACTGCAAACGAAGCTGCCAAAAAGCCGCCAAGAAGCCGCAATAAATCGGGATGGAAACGTTTAATCTTTCCTCAGGTAAAGTTGAATGTACTTTCTGTACTTGTGTCATTTGTCAAAAGCTCGCTCGGGACGCTCATCATCCCTTTTCCCTGGGGATTTTGATTTTTTCTTACCTTCCGCCTTACAAACCAAATCGATCACTGAAGCCAAAGGCACAGACCCCGTCACGGCCAGCGATTTCACTACCTTTATCGGACAGTTTTTTGGTCACCGCTTCAGGAACTTTGCCTATCACGCCAAAACACCATGAACCACGTAGTCCATCCAATCATTCTGAGCTACAATCACCTGGCACTCAACTCACATCTTTACCAATCAGCATGTCACGACATGCTAGCATCGAGAATCTAGCTGCCCGGGCTTACACTTTTCCAGAAGTTAACCCGGAGAGTCAGACACTTCAGACAGCTCGGCCTCGGCCGCGGTCTCGCTCATTTTCCGGTCTCAATACTTGCCAGACCTATGCGCGTCCACCTGGCTCAATCCCACCCTCCTACTACGGAAATGTGGGCTATCCTCATCCCGCATCCAGCTTGAGCACGTCAAACCCTTTGATGATACTGCCCGAACTTGGACCCCGTGAGTCTTCCTTTATGTACCGTGTCGAGTCTTTCACTGACTTTGGTTCCATGTGGAATACCCCCAGAATGCGCACTACCTCTTGCAGCGCCGTCTCATCCACCATCTACTCAACCTCGCCAGGGTCAACTTGGGAGTTATACGTTCATCGAACACTTCCCACAGAGAAGACCCAGCGCTGAGCCTCACGTCGAATCATTGCCTATCACAAACCAGAAAAAGTCGGTTCGATTTCGCCGCACACTCGAATTGATTCCAGATCCCGCTTTTCTCGCTTCCCTTTCCCCCTGTCGCGATGAAAGAAATATGTCTCACGGTCCAAAACCACTCAAGTCGTCTGCCGATCGGCCGGGTACAGGCTACGAAAGAAATAAATCCCTTTACACTTCCGGAGTTGGTCCAACCGGTGCACCCCAACAAAGCCCATATCGTCCTACACCTTCAGGATCTGCACAGTATAACTCATCATGTGAGCCTAACGCAACCCAAAAACAAAACAGCACCCAAGCAACAAAAACAAAAGTGGGTATGGGAATGAAGCTACTCATGCGGGCGACACGAAGAAATTCGGACGAGACATCCCTATCTTTTAGTCTCAGAAGCGAGACAGGATCAATCAAAAACTCGTCTCAATCGGAGATACCGATGATATCAGAACCTCGTGAATCCGCAGTGGAAAAAGCTCATCACGATCTGACTACTAAGAGAAATCAGGATAAGAATACTATGGAAGATGCGGACTTCAATTTGCTGAAGAGGACGTTGGCACCTAAATTGAATTTAACGTTTGTGGATCTTGATCATCATATCGGAAGTCGATTCTCGGTCAACACCCTATTCAAGGAAGTTCAGAAAGCCATTCCTGAAATCTCGGTGAGTCGATAGCGACTCCCCTCTTACGCTCCAGATCCACTACTGACCTCGATAAACCTACTCTCCATCAACCGATGTTAGCCGCTTGATCCCTCAAAAGTTCCTCCTGAGGATGTTCTCTATCCACAAGCCCAACCGACTCAATCCGCATCACATGAGCACGCCCGATCCCAATCGACCTCATGCTTGAACTCGCACGTACTTCATGGACCCGTGATCAGTCACCATGGTCGAACACATACAAGGACGCAGACGGTACCAGATGCCTCATCGGATGTAAAAGTCCCGCAAGCGATATCAAATGATTTCAGACTGTCTCGTCCTAGAACTCGGCCGAAATTACAGGTACAGCGAGCATCAAAAGTTGGGAACGAAAACGAGAATAAACCGATCTGTGAATCGATTGAGGTGGTCAAGGCCGAGGGTCGCGAGTTGACTTTTGAGATGGTGGTACCAAACTCTCATCTGTCTTCCGGAAGTCGCTCACCAGTCCCAAGATGTGATAAAGACATTGGGACCGAATCCAAGGTTTCGAAAATAGCCGAGCAGCCATCGACAAAGCTTTGCGTTGAGAATTATGAACACGAATTGAAAAAGATGTCGGATAGATTGGTGGCCTTGGATAACTCACTTGAAGCCTCTCAGACAAAAAACACTCCGACCGATATGCAAGCTGTACCTGCACAAAAGAAACTCGAAAGGGTTGAGACTTGGTTATCTTCTGTACCGCCTTCAGCAGTGAGCGTGGTCATTTCGCCTGGCGGTCAGAATATTCATCATCGTCCTCTAGATTGGCCTTTGGGACATGAAGGACAAGATTCACCTATCTCAGCAATCTCAAGTGAAGCGCTTCAGCCAACTTCAGATTACGATGAAACAGAGAGATGGCAAGAAGATTTTCCTGAATCACCTATTGACCGATACGCGATGCCTATCCGTCTAGCCCGTTCTGGTTCGAAGACAAAAGCAACTCGGGTTTTGAAAAGCTCAAATGTACAAAAAACTACGGCGAACAAAGTGTTGGATGAGCAGGGTCGATTCACTCAAAGTCCTGCAAGCCAGTTAGGAACTTTCAAGCTTGATCTTCCACCCGTAAAGAATAAAAACAATCCGGCTTCAATGGATCTCAGGAAAGATGATGCTAACCCTACGGGATTGGTAAGAATCCGAGCTCCTTCTGATTCATCTTCTGGAACGAGTACAGCAGCAACAAAAATACCAAAGGTGACTCAGATGGTGGCAATACATGAAAGGCCCAAATCTGATTGTCGAGCTCGAGATTCGAGTATACTTTGATATCCAAGTCGTTCAGCTTATTGAGGAATGAGGAAGAAATTTCGAATTTATGATCATAGAGTATATAATATAAGCTTTTCTTTGGAGTTTTATGGTGCTTCGTTGTCTGTGTTTGATAATCGCTTCGTCGAAATGATAGATTTTTTGGGATATTTGAGTTTTTTTCTGTTCATGTAATATGTTAGTTAAAAGTTTCTTTTTGATCTCTCTCTTTCGCTCGCTTGAATAATTTTCATTTGTCGATTATATATATATATGCGTGTGTGTGTGTGTGTTTTCTTTACTATAGTGATCTTATTTTGTGCAGATTGTTTTGTAAAAGTAATATACCGATTTATAATTCGGATTGTGCAGAAATGGACATAGGATATTTGATTTTGATTTCGATTCTTATTGTTTTGGATATGATTGATCGACGTATCCAACACTTTGAGGTTGAAGGTCTTGTTGGAAAGATTATTCTTCCGGTTGGTTCGTAGAACTTATGATGTTTTTGAGAAGTCAAGCTACATACATCAATGTCCTTGAAGATCGGACCCAAACAAGAAAACGTGACCATCCAAGGATGCGGTATTTGGTTGATGATAGTATATTTTTGGAATCGTAACGATAGGAAGAAAATGGTGACCAAAACTTAAACACACCAAAGCTGTGGAGAAACGCGATAGTTGAAAGTGACCGTGGCATCTACGCCAAATGAGGTTACGGCGGCATTGATGACATTAGCGTCGTAAAGTGCGCAGTTGATCAAGTATGATCTTGCTGAGTGAAAACATGATTGATGATGAGGTGTTATTTCGGAGGAAGTAAGAAGAGCTTGTAGATTAAGAAGTGAAAAGGTGGTTTATTCAAGATATGTCCAATTGTAGATTTAAAGATGACGATGGAGCTGGGAAGGATGAATTTCTGGAATTGTGGCTCGAAGGAGCAAAGGATTGGTTCTTATACCTCAGCAAAGTCATCTTCCATCTCTTGATACTACGATACTAAGACCAGCTACACAATACGACTGAGATACATTTCCAACGGGGTTTCTTGTTAATTCAGGATATCACGTCTCCCCTCCTTGAATTCTAAAAAAATTGATAAGTTGACTGGATGAAGCTCGATTATATTCTTCTCCCTCGACCGGTTTTTCATTCCTCTATATATGTAGTCACATCGGTGTAATAATTTCATTTCCTCAAGGATCTTGAAGCGATAAATCAACCAGGTGTGGATTCAACCTAAACGAGTATTCAAATAATTAATCCCAAATCGGGTTCGTGAAAGCTTTCATGAATACATTTGCTGTTGCCTTAACTTTCGATTCCTTTCAAATCGTAATTTTTACATTTCGATGATGTCCCTGATGTTCGCTCCGCGCGCTGACCATCTACTCGAGTTTTTCCAGTAATATGAGCATCATGGACGTGTAAATCATTATAAAGAGCTGTCATTTAAAAGCCAACATCCCTTTTGATTACCCTCGTATTAAAACATGTTGCTTGGGATGACCCTCCACCACCGACGTCGAGTTCCAGTGATGGTGCTCAGCTTATACTCCCCCTGAGCCGCAGTCAAGCTTTCTTAAGACTTCAACCTATTTGGAAACCGTTTATGTGAATAATCTTAGCTTCACAATTTCATTGTTGTCCTTGATTCCTTTGGAGCGAGAGGACGAATCTCGCATTTTGGCGTTCGGTAAGGCGTACCACGCGCCCAATAATCCACAAGTCCCTTATTCTCTTGGCATGTCTTTGTATCGTTAATTATATCCGGGAATCTTCCACTTAACATCGCGTTCACGGAGCCCCGTCCTGTGAGGATCAGTAGAAGACTTATGACTCTGTACATTCTGATAACGTTCCTTTACCTCACAGAGCGCAGCGTATTCTCGATAGTACTTCATAATCCCAACTCTTGGATCAACCCTGTAGTTGTGTCTGTCGTCTGATAGTGCCGTTCGTCCATTTTTGTAAGAGGCTATCGTACCACTCGTGACCTGCTCGACTGATTCGTAACTTCCTCGACTCGTGATCTTTGTACCTCGCATCGTCATATTATCTTACTATTTTTCCGAGTTGGTGTTGTCTGTTGGCGTCCTTTAAGATGTAACCCCGTGTGAATGATGTGAACTTCCTGTCCTCTCGCGAAGTTCTTGTATCGCTAATCAAGAACGTCCTCAATCCGAATCTCATCGTGTATATCGTGACGCATGATGCCACCTTACTTTGTGATGATTGTAACATAGTGTATGACCTTGTTCCTCTTGCCAACGCACCTTTATCTGAACAAAACTTGTTTACTTATGGACATTATCGATTCAACCTACTTAGTGTCTGTCTTCTGATGTAGCGTTCATTATTTGATTGGCGGCTAACGTATGATTCGCGACTTCCTCGACTTAGAATGGCATTTGTGCCTCCACACTAGTATCCTTTAAATAAAAATGTTAGTTGTTACATTTCAGCGCCCTGTGAGCTGTCACCCCGTACCCAGTGACTCAATGAGACCCTTCGTCATGTCGCCATTTTTTCTGTCGATGATCGCGAACATCATAGAAGCGTGTACACCCATAATCCCCCGCTCTTCCGATAATATTAGTCGGCATTTGATGACCTTGTGTACATTCTTATAATGTTTCTTTATCTTCATAAAGCGCCTGTCATCCTAGTACGTATATCGCTTCGAAATCGACCACCTGGAATGGGTCCCGAATCTCTTCCCGTCGTGTGATGATAGCGTTCATCCGTGGCTGAAAGTGGCTAACGTACGCTTCCCGGACCCGACTTCCTCGACGCGGTATTCGAAGAATCTACTTCCGTATCTGCGATCACTGTTTGAGTTCAACTTATCTTTTCTTTTGGTCTTGCCACAGCTGGTTTACCTCAAGGTTGGGATGTTGCAATTGACTAATCATATTTTCTTCTTTGCCTCGGTACCTTCTCAAAAATTCAAGCGTATTTTTCAGAGAATCCAGTAGATGTTGATTACCTTGGACAATGACCAAGAATTTAACTTCTATGTTGGACAAGGTGATGGATGAATCTTATAAGTTGGTACATATTATCTTCAGAAAATTTTTGATAAACGGGATCGATATAAGGAATATGTTGTCATCATTTCGAGTCCATGGATCCCTAAAAAAAGAAATGATGAATTGCCTATATCGTATGTGGGAAGTCCATCAGATGTCGGGTACGTTGGACTATGACGAAGAGGTTCGCTTTTATATTGGGAAAGGTAGTTGATCGATGTTAAGAGTTGAGATTTTCTTCAGAACTAAGTTAGTAAACGAAATTGATATGAGAAATAAGTTGCTATCATTTTGAGTCCAAGGACACCTGGAAAAAAGAAATGATGAATTGAAATCAAGCTGATACTGTTACGAGCACAAAAGTGTTGATTGGGAAAAAGTTCGAATCAATAACAAGAATTGTAAGTGGTATAATGTCAACTTGCCGTGGCACCAGATAAAAAAACATTCCATTGCAGAATTCTGGTTCCTGGTTCATTATCCTCATGACAGAAGGCGAGAAGGCCTTGTAGATAATTACTCAACAAGCACCGATCTTTCTGAATGAACACTTGCTCACAATACGTTTAGTGACTATCTATTTGAGAGCTGGTTCAATTGAGGCAGTCTCTTTAGACGCGATACAGCATCAACGAGACCGTCCTGGTTTCTCAACAAGAGGAGATGGAAAGAGTTTTGCCATTTATGTGGGTCATCAAGTGCTTCGGCTTGCAAAGAAAGTACGCAATCCATTTCATGTAAAGCTGAATTTCCATAAAAAAGTTATTTGATTTTCAAAACCAGTCGTCATTACACACACAGTGTTGGAAGACGCATGTCCCACAAAAGTTGATCCAAGGAATCAGGATGCTTTGATCAAGAAATGCATTTTTGGAATCATGGGTTTCACTCCGTTTATTGGAATAATTCCCATGGGTTTAAAGAAAGCTTCAGCTGTCTGCGTGACATACACACTGCAAAGTGGATTGTCTCGGTGACATGTCGGAGGCTGGTGATACATGGTGTGATGTGACATCTACAGCCCACAAGCTTACCTCGATCAGTGACACAGTATGGAGTGTTCAGTTTGATTTGGTCATCAGACAGCATTGTGGCCTTCATCGCCATTACCACCAAAACCAAACATGGAACCTTCATCACGTAGACCAGAACGTGGTCTCTTGTTGATATCGTAAGTTTCCGCCTAGATTAACCCAAAGATCACCTCAAAATCGAATTAAATTTGTTCGGTTTCCTATAGCAATTTACCAGCTTTACAAAACTTAATCAAACGAGATCCCGATGGATATTCTGCTGAATTCGCTACTCAATGGGATCATTATCAATCACTTCGAGCGGTGATCGATCTGGGTCTTGGTTCATCAGGTGGTAATGATATGGGCTTATCAGGACCGGCTAGTGTGACGCCCACGAGCACAGGAGCTGGAAGTGGAAAGGGACGTAGAGAAACCGAGGAGAAATTTCGAGAAGTAGTGATCTTTCTGTCACAGGTAAGCAAGCTGTTGACTTTTCTTCATTCAAATCATTATTGAACAATATTCTTGCACAGACTGCACCGTGCTATGCTCTTAAAGCCAAACCCATCCGACCGGTCACCAATCTACCTACAGAGTTATCCAGTCTTCTACTCCAGCGACACGATCTTTTGCATACCGACACGAGGAAATCTCTAGTTCAAGCTTTAGTCGGCATGAGGCGTAAAGATACGACCAATTGTCTTATCACCACCTTTGAGTATGTCTGCTTCCGAGTTCTAGGCTTTTGGGTATATTTCTTGAGCGTCTTGCTGACTCGCATCCTTTCATAGTCTTCTGCAGGTTCTCTTTGCACTCCTCCCTATGACCACCTCATCGATCCTCCGGGCATCGATCTTGAAAACAATTCTAACTGATATCAAATTAGCCAACAAGAAGACTAAAAATCACAAACTGAATCGATCTGTCCAGGGACTCCTTTTCAACATGATCGAACGTGGTATCGACGGAGGTCGCGCTGATGGGTCAGAAGGACCTGGGATGAAGAGAAAGCTGAACAAAAACACTGCCGCTGCGAACGGAAGCCGCCGAGAGGCACTATGGGCAGTTAAATTAGCCACAGAGTTATGGAGGAAAGGTATCTGGGATGATTCAAAGACGATCAGAATATTGTCCGATGCGTGCTTCCATTCAAATACTAAAGTTCAATCAGCCGCAATCCATTTTTTCTTATCAGACTCTGGATCTGGGGAATTAAATGAATTGGATAGCGATAATGAGCCAGAAAAGGACATTAATGTAAAGCAAGTCAAACACGTTCAAACTATCAACAAAAAGCGAAAGTCGACAGACAAGCGAGCTGAGAAGCTGATCAAGCAAGCGAATCGAAAGCAGAGGGCCAAAGAGGCTGGTGTCAATAAGAGTAACCCGAACTTCTCTGCTATACAGCTCATTCACGATCCTCCTCAATTAGGTGAAAAACTTTATGAAGCTCTCTTGAAGCATGATAAGATTTATACCTTGGATCACAAGATTTTATTGCTTCAATTGTTTTCTCGCATCAGTGCAATTCACAAATTACAAGTTTTACCTTTTTACTCTTACATTCTCAAGTATATCAATCACCAACAGCTTCAAGTCACTTCTATCCTTGCCGCTCTTGCTCAATCAGTACACGATCTCACCCCGCCGGACGTTCTGATGCCCTGTTTACGTAAATTAGCAAACGAGTTTGTTCATCCTGGTGTCGCTTCGACTGTCATTGCAGCCGGACTGAACTCGATCACAGAAATCTCTCGAAGGCAACCTTTGGCTATGGAAGCGGATTTATTGGCAGATTTGATCGAGTACAAGAAAAGTAAAGATAAAGGTATCATTACTGCCGCACGAAGCTTGTTGGGTCTGTTCCGAGAGGTCAACTCCGGCTTGCTTAAAAATCGCGAGCGTGGTAAGGTGGCTACGATGGCTTCAAAGGACTTTGCGGGCGAGAAAGATTCAACAATGCCCACGAGAAGAGTTGTCAGGTTCGGGGAAACGCGTGGTGATGTTACATCGATACCGGGATTGGAATTGTTAGAGCAAGCTATGGCCGATAAGAGTACTGAAGCCAGAGAAGGTAACTCTGCAGAAGAGGCGGAAGATGATGATGACAAATGGGAAGGTTGGGAAGTCGAATCTGATGATTCTGATAGCGAGAATGAGGAGGACTCAGATGGAAGTTGGATCGAAGTCAGTAGTGAAGATGATGGGGGTGGGTTAGATGTCAGTGACTCAAGTGATGACGAGGAGGTGGACGGGAAGAAGATCACTCGCCGACAGCGTTTAGAGAAAAGGAGGAAAATATTCACTGGAGGCTGGAAAGCGGGCGAAGATACTCGCGCCTCCCGAAATGAAGAAGGCGAAGAGCAGGCTATAGAGGATGATGCGGATGGTGATGAGCCTGAACATTCTGCTGAACCTCAAATCGCTAGCTTGGCGTCCACCAAAGTATGTGCTTTTGAATGACTCTGACCCATGGCTACAGTTACTAACTACTCCTTACCCGTCAGATCCTTACGCCGGCAGATTTTGCGAAACTGAATGAGCTGAGGATCAGCGCGATCGAAAAGGCGGCAAAAGAGAGTGGATCGAAGAATGCCAATTCATCACACCATAAGATCCTTAAACAATTACGACAACAAGCTCATTATAATTCCAAGGAAGCTCCAACACTTGATGCGATTGAAGAAGAAAATCATCGATTTGTCAGTGAAGGAGATATCATTGGACAACAAAAGAAAGCTAAACAGAATTATGAAGAAAGGATGGCAAGTATCCAATCTGGTAGAGATGGTAGAGAAAAGTTTGGTAGTTCGAAAGCTAGAGGTAGAAAAGGATTAAAGAATGGAGCGATGGGTAGTAGTACCAACGAAGCTAAATCGAGACAAAAATCATTTGCAATGACACAACAATCAAATAGAGTACGTATACCTAGTCATTTTCTTTCTGTTTACAGTGACACTCACTTTGTTTTTCTTTTGTTAGGTTCGATCTAAGAAGAGTGCTTCTTTGAGAGATCGTCAAAAGACTTTACGAGCTCATATCAATCGTAAGAAACGTGGAGGACGAAGAGGAAACGGTTAGGAGATGATTGAGGCTTAGAATCCTTAGATAAGCTTTGATTGGATAGAAATGATTTCAATTGTCTGTATTGCTTGATTTGATTTGTTTTATGACTTGATCATACGATCAAGTTCGAAAAGTTGAAAAATCAGGTTCAGTGTGATGTAGAAAGATTTTCTCTTGTTCTAGATTTGGAAATACCATGGCGTATAACATGAGCGAGTATATGATTTCTATGAGTTTAACAAACTTGTTTTAGTGATTTGTGAAGTGCTCGCCAAAGCAATTGATTGCGACTCTCACATGAACCGTATGACCATGAACCACCCCCACGAGAGCTATCCAATGCACCCCAAAGCTTTAGTAAGTGATAGTGATGCAATTTATGTTTGGTTTCCCAATACCTTTCATGTAGGATCCATCATCAAGTTTATAACAGTAAGAAAATTTCGTGAGGTGCATTGGTTCACATGGTACCAATTTGTGTTCTTTTCACTTCAAATTTTGAGCATCAGAGTTTGTGTCTCTTTCATATTTATTTCTTGTGGGACTGGGTACGTTTGTTTCGTAGACTTTTGATATAGATGGCAGCTCTCGGGAAACTTGACTAAAATTCTCCGACATTTTAAGTATCTTGTCTCGAATTTGATCAAGACGTTTGATGGTAATTTGGCTCTGTTGAAGCTGTAGACATTTGTATGCTTATGGCCCCTTGTGACACCGATGCCTTGTCACATACATGTAGATTGACTTTCTCTTTATGATTGATCTTAGTTTGGAGCATGGAGATAGACAACCATAAAATATCCTCCCTATCACCTGTCAATTCGACAAATTCCCGCATGATCCACTCAAAGGAAGATAGGAAGCTCTGAGGGTGAAATCTGATTTTTTTAATAAAAACTCTGTCATCTTGAGAGTAGTTTGGAAAATTCGGTAAGATAGCGAACAGCACATATTTTCATCAAGGAGTAAGTCTCCCGCATGAATCAAGAAAATTTTGTTATAAATTTTTATACAAGAAAGGAGAAAGTTGATGGTGGTTTAAACTCAAGGTTAAATGGTATAGTACTTGAACAATGTGTTCCTTCAAGGATTAATAGGTGAGTTTTCTGATAGCAACAACAACGAAGAGAAAGACAATAACTAATGAGACATGCATATGTAACGAAGGAATAGAAATACCAAGGTTCAAAGGAAGGGAGAAGATAACTGAGATTGAATGAGCAACTTTTCTTTGTAAATTTTGAGAAAAATGATATATTACAAGATTTGTGCTTCAAAAGAGAAAACTTAGGGTGAAACCAGAAGGGTTTTCAACGATGATGGTGATGATTTGTAGCACCACCTGGCTGAAGCGGTACTACACCGTACGGAGACCAAACTGGAATCTCTTTGAGTTCATCTGAACTTCCTGCCGGTGGATAATCGGGTTTATTGGATCCTGATGAAGGCTGATGGTGAAGATGATAGGCCTGAGAATTCTCTTCTCCTGATGAGAGATGAGAGGAGCGCTTTGGATATGCCAATTTGATTGTGTTACCACCGTGGTGCGCTCTGTGAGATTTATCAAGCGGATACCCAACAGCAGAACTGGGTTCATATGGGTGATAGGGGTCTTGTGGGGCTTCGTAAGGGCTGTGGTGCACATAATCCGGATTTGGTATGAAGGGTGGGGGTCCTGAGTGCGGGTAACCTGGCTGGTTAAAGTGTCTGGGGGTAACTTCTCTGTTAGGATACCGCCTTGTGCCACTGGGTGCGAGATGAGATCCAGCCGAGCTTCCATAGCTATTTCTTCGTCGCATCTTTACTTCAATTCCCATCAGATCAGGAGAGTCGTCTCTTTGGTCAGAATCTTGCTTAGGGGTGAGAGAATACAAATCGACGGCTTTGAGGCTAGATAGAAGGAGTTGAAGCCATCAGCTAAGGATGTTTGGCAATTCCTTTGGACAAATGATTCGAAGCTTACAGATAGTAAAGAGCAGTCGCGACCAATGCGCCAACTGAAGGTCCTACCCAATAAACTAAACGTGCGGATGCGTCAGATGAAGATCACTTAAAGATGGCCGTGTAAAAAGTGAAGAACAAACCCCACTGATAAGTAGTAAATCCGGTGATCTAATTGACAAAGAGACAAGAAAGAGATTAAAACGAAGCAATTATTTGAGACCTTTTGGATAGTTGCATGAAGACGACTAACTAGTGCAGGACCAAATGCTCTGGCGGAGTTGAGCTATTTGACAACATAAGTGTAAGTACTCGGATGTTGCCTTAGGAATTTGATGTTAGATAAGTTTTAAAAGGCTCACAGCAGCGCCAGTGAAGACTACTCCAAAAAGATGAGTAGCAAAGAGTACCAATCCAATGGCACATGGTGCAAATGGAGTAGAGCGATGCTTTTCGACAGCCACGAGCAGGACGGTTAATGTCAAAGCTGCTGTCAAGAAGCCCTCGACGATGATGGCTTGACCAGGAGTCACACCGGGTCCAAGTGTACAATTTACGGCCAGTTTTCCAGGGAGGGCAGCGTTAAGTAGTGCTGAAGCGACTATAGCACCAAGAACCTGTATTTTTTATAATGAAGGAAAATATCAGTTTGATGACCAATGACTGGAGGGTTCACAACTTTATAATCATTTGGAAGTAGACTGACCTCTGCACAAACGTAAAGGACAAAACGCCTAAACAAAATATCATAAAGGAAAGAAACACAAGTTCAGACAGATTTTTGTCAGTGAATTCCGACATCAAATCCTATGTTGCTAGGTCAATGCATAACGCAAGTCCGAACAGAAGCCTACATTGGTTTGATTGCTCCGGTGAGTACCAGTGCAATGGCCACATTTGGGTTGAAGACGCTTCCACTGACACGGAAAAAAGTCCAAGCAGTTGCAAGTAGCGAGAGGCCCATACTATCGTGAAAATAGTGAGAATCTGAATCAATGTGTAGACGTAAGACTTAGCATAAGATTCCAGCCAGAGAAAATTTGCTCACGAGGTAGATATATAGAGAAGGTTTTCAATACTGGCAACATTGTTAGCTGGGTCAGTGTCGGGGGCCCGACCTGCCAACTTGGACACGGAAGCGGCTTGGATTCCTCCAAGTCCCATTAAAAGGAACAACATTGTTCCTAAATGCCGATCAATTAAAAAAGATTTGGTACTTCAGCTTTCCTCTATGGCTCACTGAGTTTTCTACTCGAATTTACTGACCGAAAAACTCAATAAGTGCGGCAACCAGATCCACTGACGAATAGAAATGAAAAGCGTCAACATTTTGTATGACTTGAGCTTGAGAAGTCTATGAATGGCGCGACTTGTGAGGGATAGAGTGAGAGAAGAAGAACTCACGCTTGAGTTGATGTGCAAATGAACCCATTATAGAGGTTTTGAAATTTGAACAGGGAGAATTTAGTAAGAACTGAGGAACAAACACTGAAGTACTGACGATAAATTTCTAACCCGATGCAGGAATAACAAAAATTAAGATATAATAAGAGCTCGAAGGTATACTGTACAATATGCCGGGCGATTGGAAGATTTTAAAAGAAAACTGAAGATAAAGGGTTCTTCGGGGTTCTATGATCATTCAAGAAGTGGTAGTGAAGTCTGCAATGATTAAGCGTTGCCTTCCAACGTCAATCTCTAATTAAAAATTCAAGCCCTGCCCATCGTGGCACTCTGATCATCAGGGTTCATAGGAGAAAAGAGTAGCGCGGCCACATGCGCCCAGGGGAGGCCTGCTCTTGCGTCACACTCGACCGGCTTTTGAAATACATGCATCCAGGCTCAACAGACCGACACAGGCTGGAATGAAATGTCGAAAGGCGAAGAGGTGAAGCCGATCATGTCGTAATCCGTAAGTTTGAATCCCTCTTTCAGGTTCTAGACTTACAGCTCCAGTCGATATAGAAATTCAATTTGAAAACTGAAAGAAAGAATTCAAACTTACGTTTTGAAAACATCTCATCGTCGTATGATTTTTCTGCTAAATAAATCCTGACGTAGAAAACCGTGACCTCCAGCTTGGGTTATGAGGATAGCAATGAAAATCCTCAGCCATTTTCCATTGGCGTGAAGATCGACACCACAGGACATCGATGTGACCATATACTTACCTCCTTGAGCATGTGCGACTTGTTCTGAAATCCTGAGGGTAAAATTGAAGATTGAGTCTGAAGTACAATATAAGTTGTGCTTTCAATTTTGATAATCTGGACCAATAGTGTGATTTGATTGGATGGTGTGATCGACCTTGCCCAGAATCTTTTCAAATTACTGGAAGTTGGACAAAAAATCACAAAGTTTCTTACTGCCTTGGGGCAGATCACACCGGTGGCAGATCAAACTTCGAAATTTACCATTTGAATACAATCCTTGCTGTGTTCAAATCCAGTTAATAACTGGAATTTGATTTTTTCACTTTTTCTCGATGTCCAACATATAATGGAATGGTATATTATAAGTATCATCTGCGCCAAAGGTTTCTGCTCATTTACGCAGTTTTTATAACACTTTCTGAGATTTTGTACTATATCGGCTCTAATTTCATAGGACAACATGCTGCTTCCCGCAGAGGATTGTACGCATCAAATCAATACTCCAGATTGGGTATCAAGCCGATTCCGAGGCTTCCTCTGGCCGTAACTGAGAATCCAGACGCCACCCATGGAGGCAGCTGTCATGATGTGAGAACAAGATGAAAACTCATTGAAAACTTCAGTAAACCTGACCAATAGTGGTGATTTGGTAAAAGAGTTCAATGAAAAAACTCCTGATGCAGTGAAGAACATAAAAGACAACAAAAAAGTGAAGAGGCATAGCTTTCTCCCACTGGGTTTTTAAGAACATTATTGTAGACAGTTAATGGCCGTGCTTGGTGTGAAATGAAAAAGAGTGAAAACAAAAGGGAACAAAACACAGGCACTAATTTTGGGGAATAATGACATGTGTTAGAGCACCCACTATGGTGGGCGTGTTTTATCGTAAATTTTGCGGTCCCGACCGCGAAATTTAATCATGCGTGTAACAACTAAATTAGTAAACGCATAAAAACCACTATGAGCTGCTTTACGACCTGATTTACCAACGATAAATCACTGTGAGTCAACCAGATCCACAGTGGTATGATCTTGAAATGAATCATCACATTCCTCATAATCTTTTCCCAAAGATCAATTATCTCAGAAGTCTTCAAATAGCAATAGGAACAACAATAATAACATCAACTAGTCTTGACTTCTTGTTTGATAAACCTCGCATACCACCTCCGCTTCCTCGCACTCAAATCTGAATTGATCGAGACTTATCAAGACTGCACTCAACGTGCTCGGAAACTATATAAGTTTTCAAGTTTGAACTTTGAAGTTGAGGTGTCGAGGTCTGAACGTTGAGATTTGAAGTCTTGAATTGTGGAGTTTGGGATTTGATGTTTTGGAAAAGGCAGTTGTTGACCGATTATCGTACGATAAATCAAGTCGTAGGCTTGTGTAGATCTGAGCACGCGGGGTGCAAGATTTAACGCAGCAGTACGGACTGCATGTCTAAAACAGGTCCGTAGTGGACCTGTCTGGATTTTAGCGTTACGGTAACGCTAAATCACCTCGTTAACGCACCCATAGTGGGTGCTCTTAGGTGCTTCAGAAGGATCAAAAGAATCTGTATCCACATCATACAGGGCAGAGTGCGGGAGGGAAACCTTAGACACCAGGATGATGATCTATTGAATCTTGGAAGACCTCCTTTGTCTAGGTGGTGATTAGACAGATAACACATTTTCCCATGCAGAAATGCTGCATCCTTTGTGGTAAGAGAAACCAAGAAGAAAAAACAGTAGAATGAAACAAAAAGAAGAAAAAGGCCAGGTATTGAGATGAGTTGCTGATAAGAATAGTGACTGCCTTCTTTGGGGTAGGTGTCACATGAGGCCAGACTCGGATTGAAAAAAGTACTTTGAATGATATTTGGCCTTAAGTGTTGAGGTTCAAGAATGAGGATGGTGGACACTTGATGCACCACAGAAAAAGGAAAACATATTTTGTTGGCATGGTGTATCACAGCTAGCTAAACAGCAACTGGCCAGACAAGGACACTCACTTATAATTGACCTAACAGGGGTGGCACCGAGTTAGGGATTACAAATATTACATGCCCATGCATGCTCGTTGGTCAAATCACATCGACCAAGAGTGTGTATCTCTTGATCCTCATCGGTACATTTAAGACATTTGTATTTTCCCAACGTGATAAGAGCTTTACACTTTAACCAATCGGTCCTAGTGCATGTGTCACAGTCAATAGAAACACCACAAGCACCTTCAAATTCGCTCATTACCATGTCAATCTTGCAGTGATCACATTTAGGTGGTGTAGGTGGTGTACACAAGCCAACTTGTGCTAGTCCAAGTAGGCAGGCTGTGAAGATGATGAAGGTTGATGCTAATTGTGATTTCATACCGTTGGAGCCAATAAATTACCTGACTGATTAAAACTTATGATACTTGTCTTGGACTAGAATTGGAGGTGTATTAATGAATTGATGGCTGTTAAGATGATGGTGGAAAAAGGGGGTGACCTTGGAGAAGGGAGGGAGCTTATATACCTTTCCTGACCAACATTTCTAGGCTCCAAGTTGTGGTTCAGATTGTTTATATTTGACTTATCAATATGTGGCAGGTTTTCAGGAATGCTAATGAGTGTAATCTGATAATCAAACCTGCATCATGAAAGTAATTTCACAAAAGTATGGAAAAGTTGTGGTCCAGATTGGTCCCCAAGATGTAGCCTTGATTGCACAGCTGGTGTATCAATCTGTGGCAAGTTTCCAGAAGCAGGGATCAGGGCAATTTGATACCCAAACCTGCATCATGAAAGTCAGCTTATGTAAGCATGGCCAATGTTTGGTTCACTGTGGTGTAAGGCTTGGACCCGGCACCAGGACCACCCGGGCGGGCTCGGGCCGAGCCGGGCACGGGCCTTAAACGACTCTTTTAAAAAGGTATGTGGCCCGTGAGCGCTGTGCTCTCGGGCGAGCCGGACGGGCCGGCCCGAAAGGGCCCGAGGGATTGGTGGCACTAAAAAGGGAGCTCAGAGGCTCGGAAAGGGGTCAAATGAGGGCAAATGGACTCGTTGAGGAGAGGAGAAGAGGTTGGGGCACATCTATAAGCTGAATTTGACTACTGTATGTATATTGGTGGCACTAAACCAGGGAGCTCAGATGCTC